AGCAGCGTGGGCAAGACGCTGTATCACCACTTAGGCTTATAGTGGTGGCTGTCGGTTAAAGAAACTCCCACAGTAGAAAGAGCTTGGTTTCTCGTGAAGTTCTGCTTAGTGTGGATGAGGGTATGGGACTTCATTCATGCATTGCACAAGTAGACTTCGAAAGGAAGCATGGTATTTTCATGATATTATAAATATGATTTTTACGTCATGTTTTAATAGTTTTACAACCTTTATATATTGCATGTGTCTTATTGCTTTATATACTGAGTTCAGTTAGTCTTAAGTTGAACAGAGCCAAGGTAAGTTCTCTTCTGCATCTCTTTTCAAGCTTAAGTTGTTGTTTAGCGGTCCAGCTCGCATACTCGTACATTCCATGTACTGATGCCAGTTGGCCTGCATCTTGTTATGATGCAGACGCAGGTACCCAGGATCAGCATCCAGCACGCCGTTGAGCACTCCAGAGTCAGTGGTGAGCCTCCTTGCTTCTGGAGGACTCGGTTGTTCTGTTCTTTTAGTTTTGTTTTATTAGGGTGTTGCGGGGTCTGTCCCAACATCTATCTCAGTATTTTAGAGGCTTCATAGACAGTCAGTCAGTTAGTTTGAGTCTCTCTTTTGTGTATATGTGTAAATATTCTATTTTGAGACTCGAGTTGCTGTTTTGGTCAAATTTTATCAGTTGGTTGTTTTATAACCTTTCATTGTATTGAGTTATGCTTTTGAGATAAGTTTCCGCTGAGTTAAGAAAGCCAGGCCAAGGGTTCGCTTAGGGCCAACAATGGTCTCCGAATGCCGGTCCCGCCCAGGGTGTAGGCTCGGGGCGTGACAACTACTTCCTAGACATCAGGCAGAGACTAAGCATTATGATAGATGTAGCATGCACGTTAGAATATCTCCATCATGGGTGCTCGTTACCCGTGATTCACTGTGATCTGAAGCCTAGTAACGTCTTGCTGGACGAGGATGTGGTTGCCCACCTAAGCGACTTTGGTATTTCAAAACTGCTTGGTGAAGATGAGACTGATTTATACACTAAAACCTTAGCAGCATTTGGTTATATAGCACCGGGTACGTCTATTTGTTTTTGCTAATTTGAACATTGATTTTTCCTCTTATTCTTTTTTTTTCAATTAAGAAAGTATATTGCATCTTTTAATTAATTGTTTGACTGTAGAGTATGGACTGGATGGACTGGTGTATATAAAATGTGATGTCTATAGTTACGAGATTATGTTGCTGGAAACATTTACTAGGAGAAAGCCTAGTGAGTTTGAGGGAGATCTTAGCTTGAAGTTGGGTGAGTTATTCACTCCCAGACGCAGTAATGGACGTTATGGATGACAACTTGGTTACACCAATGGATAATCGCTTACAGAAGGAGTTAGATATCGTGGCATCAATCATGAAAGTAGCATTAGATTGTTGTGCTGAATCTCCAACAAGAAGGACAAACGTGAAAAACGTTGTAGGGATGTTACAGAAGATCAAGATTCAACTTCTTGCATGCTGAGCATGTTCTCTGAATCTCTTGTTCCGAATCGATAACTTTTTTTGTTTTGTTTTAGCACTTGATTTGTGCATGATTCTGTTTTCAGAAATGCTAGTTCGTTGCAATAAATGTCACTGTTTCCTCTTAATATTTATTAGTGTTGCAAAAGACGAATTAACTATATATATGAATATAAATAGGCAAGTCATATAGTAAATGTGACTTGCCTAAGAGGACATATAACATTAAGACAACAAACAAAAAGAGCAATGACAAAAGATGCTATGATTATAAAGCCTACATGATTAAAAAAATGAAAGAACAGCTCGATGGAAGAAGTATCACATTCATGCAAGAAATGGAGAATGGTCTCCTCCAAGTGTTGTAAATTGTAATGCAGGCAAACATCAATGACTCATGAATCCACGACTCGGAATCATGACTTGCAGGTCCCACAGAGGCAACTTTAGCATTGCTCCAAAGCATATAGACTCCAGGGCACTTCTCTGGTTATGAGTACTGCGTATCACCTGCAAACTGATGGCCAATCTGAAGCCTTGAACAAGTGCATTGAACAACATCTAAGGTGTTTTGTTTCGTACCAATGCTACCTTGGGCTGAATTTTGGAACAACACTGAAAGAAAAACTTTTCTTCTGTAAATTATCATTGAAGACAAATTAATATTTATACAAGAGGTTCCTTGAGGAGTCATGTCTCCAGCTATCATTACTAGACTTCACAAAACGGAACAATCCTTCCAATTTGCTATCCTAGCTAGTTAGAGTCAATGTATATTTATCCTTTACAAACATCACCTTTCATTCGTCTGCCAGAGTGACACCTTTTCAGCCTCCTATTATTTCTCGTTATGTGTTCGGCAGTGCTGCAGATGATTTTGTCCGAGAAGTACATGCTGAAGAGAGATGATGTTTTCGTGCTACTTAATTAAGAACAAGGTTCAAGGGTGGTCAATTGAATATATTTCACCCAAATTATAATGTGTATGTGTCAAGTATCCATTTGTACATTTTTGGCACCAACTCTACGCACAAGTCTAAAGTTTTTCTTTAAAAAAAAAAAATTGCAAGACTTGGTTGTCCAATTGGTCAAGTCTTCAAACGATAAAAGCCATACAAATTAAGGTTGTTTTTTTATTTATTTTCAAGAATAGAAATTTATAAAAATATCTCTGAATAAAAAAATTGGTTAAGATGTTAAACTACAAATAGAATAGGAATATGCCCTTTAACGAGCTAGGCTTCAACTGACATCTATGTTCTTGAATTTTGGGTGTGCTTAAGTAGACACTTAAACTTGTATAAAATTGAAGAAGTAGACACATGTGTCATAAGTGGCATAATACACATACTAGATGTCACGTAGGATATAAAATTGTCATTACGTAGGACAAATTAATGTGTTTATTTGTTCAATTTTATACAAGTTTAAGTGGCTAGTTGTGCACACCCAAAGTTAAAGGGCATAGTTATCAACTGAAGTCAAGTTAAGAGTCATGTTTATATATTATGCCCTTTAAATATAACTTTAAGCATCTTTTGAACCAGTTAATTAGATGCACATCTTTGCCCCCACATTTACGTTTGCTAGACTTGGTTGATTTTGGTCTTCTTCAGTTTGTCAAATCTTTAGGACCCACGTAACTTGGAAATTTTTCCTAAAACAATAACAGCCAATACAAATTAAGTACTCTCTTATTAAAAAAATAAAATAAACAAAATAATCTCTGAAACAAGTAAAAAGAAAATCAACTCTTTTATATAAATAATTGTTAAAAGGTTAACTAAATATTTAAAGTGTGTTGCCCAACATCTTAACAAGTCAAATTATTGTTCTTTAAGTACAAATTTTGTACTAAAATGACCATTTTCTACGGATCAATTAACTCTTTTTTCTTTGAAATCTCAAATCAGCGAGTGAAGTCCTTGAATTTTTCCAACATCACTCTTTCATGCACGATTCTCTACGATTTCGGAAACCTCACATTTCTTATTTCTCTTGACTTGGGAGGCAACAATTTCAATAAGTGTTATCTTAGCAAAAATCACGTCCATTAAATTATAAAATCAATAAATACAATTTGTACGTAGTTTACTAAACTATATATCCATATTTAATAAATGTCTCTATAAAATTAAACGCTATTAAGAAGATGAAATGTAAGGGTATAATTGAAACAATATATTAATTTTTGTAATGAATTTTCTAAAATAACACTTATTTTGGGATGATTCTTTTTGGACATAATACATAAAAATGCCCTTTAACTTGGCTTCAACGGGCATCAATCTATGTCATTCAGTGTACAAGTAGGTACTTAAACTTGTATATAATTAAAAAAAAGTAGACACACACGTCCTACGTGGCGTCCTACATGACAATGTCCTACATAGCGTTCTGCGTGATTATGCCACATATGACATGTGTGTCTAGCTACTTGTTCAATTTTATACAAGTTTAAGTACCAACTTGTGCACATCCAAAGTTGGAGGCTACAAATACCAACTGAGGCCAAGTTAAATGACACTTTTATGTATTATGCCAATTTTTCAAAACTAATATGACACTTATTTAGGAGGGTGGAGAGGACATAAATAATGTGGAATGTCACTAGTAGAACAGATTCATTAAGAAATAAAAGAAAGTAAAATTATAAAAAATGGTACATGTGTATTGGTGGACAAAATTAACTTGTACTTGTGGTCGGTTGTCATTGGTGGTAGATGACATTTTATTTCTTGAAATTAATCGAGGTGTGTGAGAGTTGTCCCTGATACCATAATTATAAAAAAAAGTGTGATTACTACTGGAAAAGAAGTGTTGAAACTGATAATAAAGAAATATATATTTGGAAAAAGTTGTAAAGGTTAAGTTGTTCTTTTATTAAAATGACCAGAATAACCTTCCTTTTTTTTTAAAAAAAAAAAAGTAAATATAGAAATCTGAAAGTGTCCTTGTAAAGAAATAGAGGAACGATATATACTTAGTGAAGAGGAAGTTACGAATTTTATATTGGATTTTTTTTTAGAATTTTTAAAAATGAAAGACAAAATAGTAAAAGACTTGATCAAATCAAAAGTGTTCATAAGCTAAAAATTAATAAGTTATGGATGACCAACTTAGTGTTCATTAGCTAAAAATTAATAAGTTATGGATGACCAACTTATGACTTTTGTTGATTTTAGTTTATAAGTACTTTGAATGTTTACTAAACAAGTACATAGCTAAAAAATTATTTCTAAGTTAGTTTAACGAGCCTATAAGCTTAGTCAACATTTGGTTATATTGCACCGGGTACGTCTCTTTGTTTTTGCTAATTTGAACATTGATTTTTCGTCTTTTTTTTTTCAATCAAGAAAGTATATTGCATATTTAAACTAATTGTTTGACTGTAGAGTATGGGCTGGATGGACTGGTGTCAATAAAATGTGATGTCTTTAGTTACGGGATCATGCTGCTGGAAACGTTTACTAGGAGAAAGCCTAGTGAGTTTAAGGGAGATCTTAGCTTGAAGCAATGGGTGAGTTATTCACTCCCAGAGGCAGTGATGGACGTTATGGATGCCAACTTGGTTACACCAATGGATAATCGCTTACAGAAGGAGTTAGATATCGTGGCATCAATCATGAAAGTAGCATTAGATTGTTGTGCTGAATCTCCGACAAGAAGGACAAACATGAAAGATGTTGTAGGGATGCTACAGAAGATCAAGATTCAACTTCTTGCATGCTGAGCATGTTCTGTGAATCTCTTGTTCCGAATTGATAACTTTTTTGTTTTGTTTTAGCACTTGATTTGTGCATGATTCTGTTTTCAGAAATGCTAGTTGGTTGCTATAAATGACACTGTTTTCTCTTAAAAACTAAAATCAAATTGATCCTCTTGAAAATCTCGAAGCAGAATGATATTTCTGTAAATTGTTAGAGGAATAAACTATATGAATACAAATAGGCAAGTAATATGGTAAAGGTTTTACATGGGAAACACTAAGACATCAAGACAACAAACAAAACGAGCAATGACAAAAAATGCATTCATGGAAGCTATATATGAAGAAGGGTCTCATCCAAGGTTGTAATTTGTAATGCAGGCAAATAGTGAACACAAACATCAATGACTGAATCCATGACTCAAAATCGTACATTGTTGAACACTTAAGACTTGGAAGAAAACACAAAACAATTTGCAGAAATTCATTGAGGCAAAACGTCGAACATGTTGCGGGCAACAAATCATGCAGTAAGCTGCACATTCATGTACTAATTGCTTTATCAGTGTCTTGAAAATAATGGATAGATTCCATACCTGAGACCTGAGTGAGTGCTTGAAACAATAAAGGGAAAGTCATTTGCTAAAATTCAACAAATAACCACTTTTCAGCTCCTGCCGTTGAAAAATAATGATTCAAAGTGTTCCTCTTGATTTTTTTTTTAAAAAAATGACCTTAACTTATTTACAGAAGTTACCTTATACCAATGGGCAACAATTTATACAATTTCACTAAGTAGACTTTGGTTATGCGATTTCATCTCGTTATTTGATAAAAGGAAAAAAAGTTAAATATGCCCCGAACTATTATAAATAATATGCAGATATCATCCGTCATACTTTTTGAAACATTGGTGCCCTGCCGTCCAAAAACTAGAGCATATATGTCATTTACTTTAACCATTATAATAATACATAAATGTACAATTTAACTTACTTTAACAAACATCTATATTCTCCAACATTGGGTGTGTACAAATAAACATTTAAACTTGTGTAATGTTAAACAAGTACATACACACATCTTGCGTGGTGTTCTATGTAGCAATTTACATCATACGTGGCATTCTACGTGTATTATGCCACATAGGACACATGTGTCTATTTGTTCAATGTTATACTAGTTTAAGTGTGTATTTGTGCACATTCAAAATTGAAGGGTGTAGATGCCCGTTGAGGCCAAGTTAAAAAACACATTTATGTATTATGCCTAAAAAATGGTGTAATTACGTGTTCGGATAAAAGAGTTGAAACTTATAATAAAGATTTATGTATTTGGTAAATAATGTATTGGTAAGTTGTTCTTTTATTAAAATAACTAAAATAACCATAATTTGTTTTTAAAAAAAGTATAAATCTAAATGTGACCTTGTAAAGAAAAAGAGGAACACTGTATATCTTAGTGAAGAGGAAGTTACGAGATTTATATTGGAAAAGTATTTTTGAGAATTTTTTTTTAGCAGAGGTCCTTTTCCACTATAGGTCCTAGTGGAGAGAGATATTGACTAGTCCATCTGAAATCAATCCTTATTCCACAATTTTTTTTTACTGGCCTCAAACATATATAAATCATGAATTTTTCAAAGCGAGTCAATAAGTCGTGTGTATGACAATCTTCTAGTCCTTTTATGCAATTATGAATTCCATTGAATTTTATCAATTCGAACACAACTTATTCTTTTGGAACTGACGTAACAAACTATGTGAGCCAGAAAAGTTAGCAATACAACTCACAATTTGCTTCTTCATTGTTTTAGGGGATCAATCACAGAGATAGTGTAAGTAGGGATAGATGGCTTGTACAGTTGCTTTAATAAGAGCACCTCTACCCCTATATATAAGACAATAGTTTTTTTTCCTTGTTACATTCCAGTGATCTTGGCCACTAAAGTATGTCACCTTTTTTCTTCACAAGCAGTTTGTATATCCAAGATATATAAAAGGAAAGTTGATGTTGGTGAAGCCAATATAAAGCAATTCATTGTACTAAGTTCCTGCTATCTGTGGGATTTCAGGAAAGGACCGAACTACAAGGGTCCTTACCCTGCATTTCTACGAAAGGCTATTTCCACACCTTCTGGTCACATGTCATTCAACTTTACTAGTTACGCCAATGGATTGATTTAATTCCTTAATTTCTATCAGCATATGTGTTTGGAGCCACCAAATAGCAAGATTTATTTATGTTTACTAGTTGACCAGAGATGTGTTCATAGTCCTTGAAGGCGTTTAGCATAAGAGCTAGAGAGTTGCTTATTACCTGAGAAAAAAGAACAGTATAAGTTAGTAAAATGTGGCACTACTTTTCATCACACAATTCTAGAGAATATGAAAAGCAAGACTATTTACAAAGAATTAAGCACACAATAAATAAAGCAAGACTTGGTTGATTTGCCATGTCTTAATTGGCTGATTAGAGGAATTTTTTGCCACCATATTTGACAATTCTGATTGAGATGTGAAATACTTGATTGAATGGAAAAATCTCCTAAAAAGAGATCTTATTGCTATTCAAAGTCTCAAAACTACAGGTTACTAGTACTAATATTTGCACTAATGGAGAAAGCCTTCACTATTTTTGTAACATCCGACAATTTGAAATAACTATGAAGAGGCTTAGAATTGGAATTTATTTTATTTTTTTTTATTTTTGGAAAGAATTAAAATTCTGGAAATTTGGCTAAGTATGGGAAAAAGTGAGTTTTTGGCCAACTTTGAACGGTCATAACTCCTAGCTCAGGATGAGTTAGGTGTAGTTCCAGTTATGGTTGCGAAGGTCGTGGAATGATCTTTCCAATGCCACTAAGTTTGCTCGATTCCGAGTTCATATGAGTGAGTTATGCCCTTTGGAAGTTGGAAAGTTGGCAGGGAAGTGAAGTCCGTCCGGAAATTTTGAGGGTATTTTGGTCTTTTCCCTAATCATTTCTTTGGGTTATATTGAGGTGTTAGGCTGATTTTTTTTTTATCAGTTTGTCCCATTTTAAAAGAGTGAGAGTTAGGGTTCTTGAGAGAAGAGGAGGAGAAGAGGAGAAAAGAGAAGAAGAAGCAAGGATTCGTCAAGATCGTCGTGGATTTCGTCGGGGGTGATCCCTATTAAGGTATGTGAGTTCATAGTGTT